GAATGTAAGCATCGATCGCGTAAAACCAGCTTTCATGGAAATAGAGGTGACTGAAGGTTTACCAAAATCAACATCACCTAAATTTGAGCCACAAAATGAGTCCTGCTCTCAAGATTCAAAATCTGATGACATTCCGGCTAACAAAACAGAAAGAATCACAAGATCAGGCAGACGAGTACATTGGCCACAAAGATTTGTACAGACATTTTATTTCTAATTCATTTCCATACTACCTTATTACTGTACTATTAAATATATGTAAGATATAAATGTATTCTGTAACTCTTTACAATAACAACCTCATTATTGTTCTAATAATTTTTCTGGTTTTATTGTTACATTTTGCACAACTTTCTAAACATTTTGGTTCGTTTCAAAGTTGTTAACATTTTCGAATGTATACAGTCATATTATCAAACCTCAGAAAACTTAAAAGCCTCAATTCGATTTTCATACCAGAAACTCTTATATATTTCTTCTGTCATTGTAATTAACAATATCATTCATTTACCTGCATTCTACGGAGGGGCTATTGTAGTGACCCATTTTATTACTCATCATCGTAATATACTTTCACTATGTAATTGGACTTTGATTTGTTTATCACTCTAAAGATTGCGTGTTGACAATTGATACTTTTGTACTCGCTCAATTTTTGAATTTTGATTACTGCGATAATACACGATCGTATTCCTTCGCAAGTGCCTTTTGATTTACGTTGTGGATGTCGAGTAATCACAACGTTAGGACACAATTATAAACGCGAAGAAGTACTAGGATATACGTGTACGCCAGTTTGGTCAAAATAGAGCAGCACAACAAATTGAATACACATACTATACTATTCACTGACGAGTCTCCAATCAAAGTATATGTCAACTGGCATGAAACCTAGGTCCAAGGCTTCCTAACGATTGCCTCCAACCATATAATATCAACAATTCAGAGTGTACCGTGATGGTGAGTCACCTAGATTGCTGGCCACATTGCAAACTTGACTAATAGGATTCAGTCTGCACCAAACAAAGCAATCAAAATATCAAATGTACTTGCTGAATTACACTGTTAGCCGTCGCAAAAGCAATAAAATAGAAACAAAACTTAAGACTATATTGAGATTTGATAGTGTGGATAATTCCCTTATTATGAATTAAAATTCAATCTGAACGAAGAATATTCTTTTCAATAATTTCTCTTCAGGTTCTTCCAATTATAAAATATAATATTTGTTGTCGTTACAATAAAGGCCAGTTATGCGGCGGATACATTTTTACCGCAGAATATCAGATTGGTTATGGGGTGTCAAAATAAATAGTCGTATTTGTGTGACAAACGTGCA